CAAAATTTCAAGACAACAAATTGTGCAATTTAACAATCAAACTGATCTGGACGGAATCGACACGCGGCGGGGTTGGCTCCAGGCACTTGTCCAGCGGCCCGCTGCGGAAAATACGCAAGAAGAGAAGAACCCATTGGTGAATAAGGCGTGAAATGCCTGCAGGCAGAATAAATCTTGTGCACACTTGTGCGATGCTTATTATGACTTGACTGGTGTGCACCAGAACTTTCACGCGGTGGTATGTGTGCAATCAGCATTTTGCTGACAATCCCAATTTGTCCCTACCAAACTCCAATTTCGAATTCTGCATAACATGCTTTGAGCATCGTGGCCAGCTAGAGCCACCAATCTTTGTGGTGCTGTGATCATCTGGACACAGGTGATTGCACTGTGCTTGAAACCTTGGAGGCAGCAGAGGCTTTGAGCTAAGCAGTTGAACTGCATTCAAATCCTGCACTCACTTTGGCGGGGTGCAAAGTTGGTGCATAGCTACATGGGCACATTTTGGTGCGTCCGTTTACACGTTGGGCCACATTGTTTTTGGTGGAGAAGTCATGTTGTGTTGTCATTTTTTGGATTCCGGCATGCGTCTGAAAGTATCAGGAAAATTCTCATAATCCTTTTTATGCCGCAGTTCAAATGCGTTACTCCAAATACCTTGATTTTGAGTGGCCGACTCTCTCTTGTGCAATGGCAGTAGGCCATCTCAATCTTTTTACTACAAGCCCAGCGTAGTTGAAACTTCCTGCTCAAAAGCACCGTGTTACAAAGGCCTTAAGCTGGCTAGAGCAGATTAGCGCACACTGACTGTAGCCTAAAATAGTTGTCTGGTTTGTTGAAATCCTCATGTGCACAGGATTTCCCGTTTGTGTTTTTTCCCCCTTTCTTCATAAGGAAAACCGCCCGAAAGAACCCCCATTTTCATGTGATTAATGAGTGAATTGCCGCAGCATTATATTTGGGTTCTTGGGGGGTTTTCATGAGGTCGATATTATTATTATTGTTGCGATCATTATTTTTCATTGTTACCATTCTTGTCTTATGAACATATTCGTTTTAGTATTACTCTTGTTATTATTACGAATGACTATTACTATTACTATTACTTTATTTAAAAAATTCCTATTTTGCAGTTGTTGTTTTGTTACCACAACTTTTCTTATTCTTATTGTTACAGTTATTGTTACTATTAGTGTTATTAGTGCTAACTATTATTGCTATTGTTTTTCTTGGACTACCGTTTAGTCGTCTTATTAATGTTATTATTATCATTCGAAGTAGTTTTTATTATCCTTCTATTTTGTCTTATTATTTCTCTTACTATTTACTATTCTCATTATATACAACCTTTTTAAATTACACTAGATATTATTATTAGTATTTACCGAATTATCATTACTATTTATAAATTACTATTGCTATTACTACTATTATTTTATGCTATCAGTGTTATTACCATTGTATATTGTTGTTTTTCTTTTCTCATTTCATCATTATTGTAGTATTGACCATTATTGTCAGCATTTCCTATGTCGTATTTATTTTTACATTGCCGTACGATTACTATTACTGTGATTTTTTTTTATTTCCATTCCTATTACGATGACTCTTCTATTATTATTATTATTATTATTATTATTTTATTTATTGTTATTGTTTATTATTATTATTATTTTAAATTGTAATTTGGACTTTTTGTTTCTAGTATTGCTATGATGATTGCCTTTGCGAAGAACCAATTTTACTAGTACGACTGCGATGTCTCTTGCTATTACTAGTATATTCCTCTCTCTATATCAATCAATATCACGATGACAATGACGATTAACAGTCTACGAGTGCATTATTATGACTGTGATTATTGAAATAGCACCTACTTCTACTTTTAATTAGCTCTGCTTCTGCCCGCTGTACCGCCCCCCTCATTGTGGCAGCTGCAGCAGCAGCAGCAGCAGCAGCAAGCAGCATGCAGCAGTAGCAGCAGCAGCAGCAGCTGCTGCTGCGCTTCTTGTGTTAAGACGTCAGGATGGTATCGATTGCATCAGTTGGTTTCTGTCCGATACGTCTCCCGCAGCAGACAGAACCTGGACATTTTGATTGAGTCATGTGGCTGCAATGATCACGTGCATGACTGCTGCTTGTCGCATTTGCGCAGACGCGCGCATGCGTGGCTGCAATCGTCCGCCTTTGAAGAGGCCTAAGCTGCCACAGGGCTTCAAAGGAATGGCACTCCGTTAGTAGTACACGACAGCATAAAAAATCTTTTTGCGTTCGCGATATAACGCATTAATAAACCCCCCCCCCCCACCCCCCCCCCAACACCCCCCCCCCCACCCCCCCCCCACCCCCCCCCCACCCCCCCCCCCACCCCCCCCCCCACCCCCCTCCACCGCCCCCCACCCCCCTCCCCCCCCCCACCCCCCCCCCCCCCCCCCCCCCCCACCCCCCCCCCCCCCCCCCCCCCCCCCCCCCCCCCCCACCCCCCCCCACCCCCCCCCCCCCCCCCCACCCCCCCCCCCCACCCCCCCCCCCCACCCCCCCCCCCACCCCCCCCCCCCCCACCACCCCCCACCCCCCCGGAGGACAAGCTTTTTCGGCCAGGGGCCTCCTCAATGCACTCGCCTAATTCCTGGTAGGATTTTCTATTAGTTTTATATTAGGTAGCTCCCCCCCCCCCGCCCCAAAAAGGGGGTGATTTTATAATTGTGGCGGGCAATATTATTGTGTTCCGGCCCCGGGATTTTATAATTGTAGCGGGAATCCTTAACGTGAAGTCAACATTAGTACTCCTCGAATGTTTCCCGTGAAATCTACTATAGATAAGGGTGATTCTACACGCAAAAGACTAGAATCCTTGTTATCGGAACCCCGCCCATATGTGGCTTCGTTTTTGAATTGTCTCAGAGAACCTTAGGGTTCAGGGTCTAGGGTTCAGGAAAGTTTTGAAGCTGATCACCATGGCTAATGTTTGCCTGGCAAGATTGGGTCTGATTAGCAGTTGCCCGTAGATGGCAGTAGAGTACTGTTTTCAGTTATGGACTGTGTTCAGAACCTGAACTTAAATTATACTTTGACATGATGCTGTGCATACGCACGAACAGAAATCAAGCGCGAAGAGGTCATGCAGCTGCAGTTTAAGTGCTGAGGCTTGCTTCAATCGCTCAGTAGGTTTGGTTCATCGTTTGGATATGATCCTGTTCGGTTGTAACCATCCTTCTAAGCAGGTGTTTCTGTGGCACATCCAGTGCTCTGCTGTATTAGATCCTTTTGCGTAGCGGAGGCAAGTGGACGAGCGGCATTCTAATTGAGCCCGGGGAGTGCGGTATTTGATCTTTCTCTGCCCCATTGGTCGTGAAGTTGGCGAGAGCAGCAACCGCAAGTCGCTGGGATGTTCTTCTGCACCAAAAGCCGCCAATCTCAGCTTTGAGAAACTCTCGAAAGCTGTCCTCCGTCTTTTAAACCTCGCACCCAGAAATTACCGACGAACCTTACAAGATGCGATGCGTTGCGGAAGGCAGTCGCAGGGAAGGCGATGTGCATTTCATTTACAGGCAACACGCATCTCGCAACGAATCCCGCAGGTCCAGCAGCCTCTGCAAAAATGGCAATGCCCTTTGTCTACGACAACGGCCACTGTAACCCACCAGAAGCATTGCGCAGGACCGTTCGTACAATTGGCCGGGCGCGGCGTGTGGAACCCTACCTTACATTACGAAACTGTTCCAGCAAGTGCGAAACGAGACCCACGCTAACACCGGACCCCAAACCCTACATCTGACGCCTCTAAGCCCGGAACCCGCCAAAAAAAACCCAGCATTTTTTTCAACTGCAAACTGCAACGAGATTCGCCGGCATCCAGTTTTTTATCACTGTCCGCCAGCCATCCCGCCCCAGCATCAGGCGCATGCCGCTCTTTGGGCTGCTCATACTGCTGCTCGCTCTTCAAGAATTCCGCCAATTGACCAAGAAGCATGCCCAGGATGTTCGCGCTGCTTCTTTCGAAGTGACTTGAAATTTGTCACCGTCGGACAACCAAAACTTACAGGAACACGATCATGGAGGCCCTTCTAGGTGTTAATTGGGCTGCCGCCCCACATCTCGCCGAAAAATGTCGAAGAAGCCATCCGGCTTCTGCGTGCCGCCGATGCGCGTCTCAACCTACCAATCACCATCAACACTCTGCCACACAGGCTCGTCAAAGGGCTTGGTCAACTCGAGTCTTAGAGGCCTGTTGCTCCGTGTGGCAATCAAGTATGTTTCGTTAGACAGAGTTTCAACAACTATCAACTCGGGACAGTTGTTCGAGATGCTTGCTGACACAAATCCCTAACATTACGCAATGGCACAGTCCTGCACGCTGATCAGACCACCACCACCTTGGCCGGCTTTTGGTCACCAGTACCACTAGTACTAAGCAGGTGGTAGATGTGGTGGCATGAAGCCGTTGCAGACAAGACTCTTCCTCTTTTTCGTAAAGCTGAACCTCTAAATTGCAATCTGCTTCCTGGGGCTTTCGTTGGCCACCTGGGCCTGAGCTGTCATTCCATCGCAGGGTTCGGGGGGTGCTTTGTTTAAGCCAAAACGTTCATGGAAAGCGTTACAAGGGAGGTGAGAATGACCATTGTTGAATACAGCAGTCTCCTGACACTACGACCTGTAACCTTGCTACCACCCAGTTTCACCGAAAGTTCCCTTGAATCCGGAGCGAACCGATAGCTTGCAATACAACTTTCGCCAGGTTATTTCGGGTTTAGGTTGGGGGGTGCTGGCCAATCAGTGCCTCGACGCATGCGCTGTACATGCGCACGGACGGCCAAGCAGCCGGCATCCCAGCAGTGGCAGCTGCGTTGTACAACCGTGTTGCAAGTGGGCATGGGATTCGGAGTGTTTTAGCGATTGCATGACGAGAGGCTCATGTGAGAGGCGCTGTAAGGCCTAAGCCGGCTTTCCCAACCCGTCTTGTGTGGAAAGAAGGTGAAGTTGGGTCGCTTGCAAGCGACATGGCTGCCGCGTCCTCAGGCATGCACGCGCTGAAGGGTTCCTCTGCTGCTCTTGTCGGACGGATATCAAACCTGAAATGCAAAAGCCCCTTGTAAGATCAGCACTAGCATGTCAAATACAATACACCCAAACTAAACAAATCCGAATCACATGAAGCCGAGGCGGCTGCAAGGCCTTCAAAGCGGAAAGCCTCCGCTGAGCCTTCGACCTTGCCCGGGAAATTCATCGCTGGGGCCGACGTTCGCTTGGTGGGGCTCGAGTCCTGCGCGGACCTCAATGGTCAGCAGGGGCAGCTTCTGTCCTTCCACGTCGAGCGTGGTAGGTGGCAAGTTCGCTTGGACTCGGGGGAGGTGAAGAATGTGCGGGCCGAGAATCTCGTGAACATCTCGCAGGTGGTCTTGCAGGAGGATGGGAAACCAAGCAAGGGCACCAAGGGCGCATCGGCGCAGTGCTTGAAACCGCAAGCCACCCCCTTGCGATCTGCAGCGAGAACGAGGGCTACAGGGAAGGCGGGATGCTGTCAGGGGTGCAGTGGCACTTTTGTTTTAAAGATTGGAAGCCCCCCCAAAAACCATAAAACCCGAACCCAACTGTTCGTTCACGTTCAGGCTGCGGTTGCACCCAAAGCGCTGGTGCAAAGGCGCGGCCCTGAGTCCGTGCCTTTTTGGTTTGCATGCGAAGGCTGAGGGCTCTTGAAAGCTCACATCTTGCGTTGGTCCTCAAACCGTTAGAACCGCTAGCCTCGAGTCCAAGACCCCCTAAACCCCAACGAAAAGGGCTTAGGGGGTTTGAGCGTCATGCTCTGAACCTCACTTGGCCGAAGCTCTAAGCCCTTACCCTAAACCCTAAACCCTATACCCCATACCCAGCAACCTTATTTGGGTGACCCGAGGCCCACCAGCCGAAAGGTCAGCAAGCCGGCGACGGCCCGGGTCCCGAGTGATGATTCCGGAATATCATTGGGGTTTAGGGTTTAGGGTTTAGGAATCCGAACCCCAAAGCCCTGACACCCTTTCTGGGTTCATGCAGGCTCAGACTGCAAAGCACCTCATGGGTTTGGGCCTTAGGGGTTTAGGATGTGCGTCGTGCCAGGGTTTAAGTAGGGTTTTGGGGTTGAGGGTTGAACATCTTTGGAAGCGCAGGCGCTGCCTGTGCATGCAAGTCTTCGGCTCTTGCGTCCTGAGGCCACCTCCTCCAAGATTCTCCCGAGCTGGTGGGGTTGACTTCCTGTTGGTTCGTAGATGTTCGTAGGGAATGAGGGAATGAGGTCCCCCATATCCCCCTACAAAGTCCCTACTAACCAACAGCAAGTCTAGGACTCAGGCTTCTCCGTCAGCCTTTGCCGTGCTCAAGTTCCAGCATGGAGGGTGGTCTCTCACCGGATGCGGCAGCGATCAGGAGGTTCAGGAACAGGTCCACCCGAGGGTCGACTCTTGAGAAGCTGAACCAAACCAGGCAGATCTCGGTAAGGGCGAACGATCCCGGCCATCCGAGCCATCCTGTGGCTGGGTTGTGCTTGGGGAGAACTTTTGCTTTGCCCTCTTTCCTTGAAAAAGGGAACGTATTCATGAATAACCCTAAACCCTAAACCCTAAACCCTAAACCCTAAACCCTAAACCCTAAACCCTAAACCCTAAACCCTAAACCCTAAACCCTTTAGGGTTTAAAGCACAGCTCAGGTTGAGAACGAGCTCGACGGCTTGTCCGCGCGACTTGATGTCGTGGAGGGCCTGGAGAAGACGATCCAGGCCCAGCTGCTGGGGGTGGAGGAACGGACCAGGTCCAGCTTCTTGGTAGTAGAGTAGGTTTAGGGTTTAGGGTTTAGGGTTTAGGGTTTAGGATTTAGGGTTTAGGGTTTAGGGTTTAGGGTTTCGGGGTATTCTAATCCCAATAGAATTTTTAAGGTTCATCTTTCATTCCCCCAGGTCACTGGACCACTAAGGCTTAGACAACAAGGTGCAGGGCATCATGAGGGTGTTGGAGGAAATACTGGAGGCTGTGAAGTGCAAGGCGGGTGCGGAGGTGCAGATGTTGGGACGCCTGTGCCTCTCAGCATTTTTTTGTTTGTTGAGCTTTATCCCACATTTTCATGAGGAGTTTTATCGTGCACTCAACACTTCTTTCATGGCGTGTCATAATGGGGATTTACGGCCCCAAGCATAGACCCCAGAATAGTAGGACTCCCGTATAAACAGGACCCCACTAAGGTATCCCCAATTTCGTAAACCACCATCCCTAAACCCTAAACCCTAAACCCTAAACCCTAAACCCTAAACCCTAACCCTAAACCCTAAACCCTAAACCCTAAACCCTCTCAAACCCAGGAGCCAGCGCGGAGGTGAAGCCTCCCGAGGTGTCTCCAAGATTTGCGGAACTGCCGGCCCTCCCCTTCGGCAATTCCACGTCCTTTCGGGAGGCAGCGTCTGCGAGGTTTAGGGTTTAGGGTTTAGGGTTTAGGGTTCAGGGTTCAGGGTTGAGCGGATTTTTTGTGATTCTCGGACCTGGGCGGGTGGTGCTTCATGGGGTTCTCAGGATTCTTTCTTTGCCTCTGAAAGTTTGTTGCCAATTTAGAGTTTTTACTCTTCAAGATTTGCTTGGAGTTTTAGAACTTTTTGGGGGTTTAGGGCTTGTAGGCCTCCCGCTAAAAGGGAGGCGTGGCGCAGGAGTCCTGCATGGACGAGCTTTGCCAAGAGGAGTCTTCTGTGTGGCCAGGTGTGGCTACGTTCCAGTTGCCGGATCATGCTTACAGACTTTTTCTGTCTGGTTTGCTCCGAAGGAACTTGAATAGCCTAGGCTTGGCCAAGCTTCAGCTTTAAAATAAGTTGCAGATGGTTTCCCAAATCATGGCAGCAAATTTTTCCGACCCCGACCAGGAACCCAGCTGTTTGTTTTTCCAACCCTGGGCCCAGGCCCCCAAATAGGGTTTAGCGTTTAGGGTTTAGGGTTCAGGGTTCAGGGTTTAGGGCTCGATGCTCCGTGCTTCAGGGCATTCTCCCTTGATTGCCCCTAAGCCCTAAACTCCGAAGCTTTTCAACCCTCAAAGGCCCTACAACCCCCCCCGCTAAAACCCTTTAAACCTCTTTAGACCCTTTGAAACCCTTCAAAACATTTCAAAACCCTTTGGAAAGCCTTTAACAGCCTTTAAAACCCTGGAACCCCCCCCCCCCCCGGTTTAGGGTTTAGGGTTTAGGGTTTAGGGTTTAGGGTTTAGGGTTTAGGGTTTAGGGTTTAGGGTTCCCCCCCCCACGCCCTAAGGTCGGAGCCTTTCCCAAGAAGCGAGTCGACCATCCTCAGCGATGTCGGTGGCGGTGTCCGGCAGGCCGGCCTGGGAAACTCCAAAGCACATTATCATGATTATGATTATTATTATTATGATTATTATTATAATTATATGTATCTACATGTATTTTGGGATGTTCCCCCCTTATACCAACAGGGATTCGAATAGGGGGTACCAGTCCTTCATAGGGATCATAATTTAGGAAAGGGGGTACGATAGTCCCTATCAAAGACTGTTAGTATACAGGGGGAACATCCCAACCTAGAGCCCTAAACCCTCAGCCCCAGGTTGTGAACGAGGGTCGCCTTAGAAAGAGCCTTCTTGTCTATACAGGGGCTTTCTTCCAGTCTTCCACCGGTTCCTTTTCTTATGTTGGGAGAAGTTGGCTGGGGAGGGGCTTCGGACTCAGACTTCCCAGGATGTCTCGGTGTCTAGATGTAGGCTTCAGCCTCAAAGTTCGGAATTTAGGCTTCGAAGTTGAGGTGGCTCCCTGCGAAGGCTTCCAGTATGGACAAGGTCCTGTCGGTCTCCGTCGGCAAGAAGATCTACCGAAGGCACTTGCTCAGGCGTGTCATGTGGTCTTGCCTGGAAGATGACAGCTCTTCAAAGGCAGCTTGGTGCTACGGCTTCTGCATGGACGTCTTCATCGTGCTCTCGGTGCTCTTGCCCCTCTGCGAGTCTTCACAGATTGGCGCAGCAGATCTTGATCCCGTGATGGCCCACTTGTCCGCTCTCGACTTCGCGTTCGACATGATCTTCCTCCTCGAGCTTTGCTTCCGCTTTCTGGCTTGGCCAACCATCAGCAACTTCTTCTGCAACGCCTACAACGTCATCGACATGTCTGTGATACCCTCCTTGGGTATTCGGCTCGCCTTGGGCGTGATTATCAGCCCTTCCTCCCAGGTGACGTGGAGCACCCTGCTGCTTTGCTTCTTCCCGGTCTTGCGGCTGCTGAAGCTTCTCAGGCGCTTCCAGACCTTTCAGGTTCTGCTGAGCGCCTGGTGGGCCGTCTTTGAGGCCTTGCCGATGTTGATCTTCGTTCTTGCAATCATCGCGCTGACCTTCGCGGGGATTCTCTTTGCAGTGGAGCCCAGGACGAACATAAACGACTGGGGAACCGCTCTGTGGCTGACGGTCGTGTCGATGACCGGGCTGGGGTACGGTGATCTTACACCCTCCACATCGGAAGGGAAAGTCTGCGTCTCAGTTCTCATCATTACCAGCCTGCTCTACCTGTCCATCCCCTTCGGGATCTTGGGCAGTGCCTTTACCCTCGCGTGGAGCCAGCGCGTGGCAATCATGGCAGTCCGCAAGGTGCGCAAGCACCTTGCGAACCATGGCTTCACGTCTGAGGACATGAAGAAGCTCTTGGAACACTTTGACCTGGACCACGACTCAGAGATGTCCCTGGTGGAGTTCCGCACAATGATCAACCATGTCATGATAGGGTTCACAGATGAGGAGGTCTGTGACTTGTTTGAAAGTTTGGACTTTCAGCAGCGCGGATTGATCCGTGCTGCTTCATTCCTGACAATCGTGTTTCCGCGTGAGTTTGAAGAGTGCCACCAAACTTACGTGCCGGCCCTCCGAAAGAAGCATCGGCATTTCTACTAGGCTCGATTGGCTGGGCTGGACTCTGTACAGACTGCACGCCCTTGTTCATCTTGGCGTTCTTTTTAAAGAAGTCTTCCGATGTTAGCTGCTGCTATCTTACTGGTACTCTTTACCCCTTTTTGCACCCTCAGGAACTAACGTCGGAAGCGCCGTCAAATCATAGCTCCGGCAGAGTGAACCGTTCCAGTAGGGGGATGTTCTGCTCATCCGCAAACGCTCTATGGATCCAGCTCGATATGGGGGTTTCCGAAAATAGGGGTGCCTCCCTTATATAAGCGGATCCTATTCTATTCGGGCTATAAAAGGGGTGCACCCTAAACCCTAAACCCTAAACCCTAAACCCTAAACCCTAAACCCTAAACCCTAAACCCTAAACCCTAAACCCTAAACCCTAAACCCTAAACCGAATATGGAACTTCAACTTCTTAAGGCTGTTAGTTCGAGAGCGTTGCGGATCAGCTTGAGATGAGCCTCGCATGTTGTGCGGCATCCAAGATGCAGTTGCGCAAGATGAGGGGGGGGGGGTGGACAGCACTTCCTCATGTGGGCAGTTCCCAAAATTCGGGTGTAGGGGGGTTTAGGGTTCAGGGTTCAGGGTTTAGGGTTTAGGGTTAGGTTAGGGTTCCCAAAATTCGGGTCCTAAGTTCGAGAGCTACCCATGTACATTCCGGCCACAAGTGACTTGAATGCCTGATGGCAGTCCGAGCCGCAAACATGTTCCTGCTTGCTGTTCTCACAGACATGTCACTGAATCTCACCCTAAACCCTAAACCCTAAACCCTAAACCCTAAACCCTAAACCCTAAACCCTAAACCCTAAACCCTAAACCCTAAACCCTGAACCCGAAACCCGAAACCCGAAACCCGAAACCCGAAACCCGAAACCCGAAACCCGAAACCTTAAACCCCAAACCCCAAACCCTAATCCCTAAACCCTAAACCCTCAACCCTAAATCCTAAACCCTAAACCCTAACATCTACATCGTGAATCATGCTTTTCATACCAGTGCAGTGAGCCACAGGCTTCCATGCCACGATGTAGGGTTTGGGTGTTGTGAGGAATCCCCCTTACACTAACAGTCCCTGAATAAGGATTCTAACAGGGTACTACTAAGTATTAAAATCCCTATTAAGGACTTTAGGGATTGTAAGAGGGTACTAGAATCCCGATTAAGGACTGTTAGTAGAAGGGGGGAGCATCCCAACTAGAACCCACCTAGAACCCTAAACCCTAAACCCTAAGCCCTAAACCCTAAATTCCCTATTAAGGACTGTTAGTTTAAGGGGGAAACTGGTGTTTGTTCGAGTTCTGCCCAGGAAGACGGTCCAGCTGAGCAAGCGGAGTGCCCGACTTAGGGTTTAGGTTTTAGGGTTTAGGGTTTAGGGTTTAGGGGCTTGACTTGCGACAAGCGTGCCCATCTGCATCCAGCGATGTCATGCCGGACGATGTGCCGAATCCTGGCCCCAGAAGCCCCGCACCCTGAACCCCAAGCCCTAAACACTAACTAAAGACCCTAAACCCGAAACCCTAAACCCTAAACCCTCAACCCTAATCCCTAAACCCTAAACCCTAGGCCCTAAACCCTCAACCCTAAACCCTAAACCCTAAACCCTAAACCCCTAAACCCTAAACCCTAAACCCAAACCCTCCACCCTAAACCCCTAAACCCCGAAACCCCAAGCCCTAAGGCCAGCAGCAAAGAAGCTAAAGGCCTGGAACGAGGGGGATTTGGAGGTCTTACTTATCTATGGCTGGAACTATGGGCCCGTTATATAACAAGGGACCCAAATTGAGGACCCATACTTGGAACTGTAGAACGTAATTGGTGGCAGGGAACTCGTGGTACAGGTTCCCCCATATTCTATTCCTGTTAACTGGCATAGATTGGGTAAGAGTACTAATTCCTAACACCTAGGTAAGTTTGGGCTGTAACCTCTAAGCCCTCAACCCAAATTCCTCATTCCCTACTAAGAAACCCGTAAGTTAGGGTTGTGACATGTTGTAACTTGGGATGTTCCTCCTTATACAAACAGTCCTGAAAAGGGACTATCATACTCCATAGTATAATCCCTATTAAGGATTGTTAGTATAAGGGGTAACATCCCAAGTTGTAACGGAACTTCCTTCTTGGCGCGGGCCTGCTCGGTTTTGGTTGTGTCTCTCGGATTCAGAGGGTTCGCTAGTAGTTTAGGTTTTAGGGTTTTAGGGTTTAGGGTTTTAGGGTTTAGGGTTTTAGGGTTTCAGGGTTTTAGGGTTTAGGGTTTAGGGTTTAGGGTTTTAGGGTTTTGGGGTTTTAGGGTTTTAGGGGTTTAGGGTTCAGGCATTTTTGCTTCGAGTGCCAGGCTCTTGCTTGGGGTTCTGGGTCTAGGCTTCGCGCAGCTGAGTTCGGGTTTTCTAAAACAAAGCATGTATATATACATATATATATATATACATATTATATATAGCAAAGCAAAGCAACAGTAGCAGTATATACTACAGAGCATCATAGAAAGAATCATCGCAAGATACTCATCGTGATTTAGAGGAACAATGGCGAGGATAGAGCCGCCAGGTGGCTCGAGAAGCCGCGAAGCCGGCACCTGTGACAGGCAGCCCGTACGTGGAATGTTGCAACCAGTTGAGGTGGGTACTGTAGAGGGTTTAGGGTTTAGGGTTGAGGGTCAAGACCCTAAGCTCTGAAAGCTGTAAGCCCTAAACCCTAGAGATTTGTGACTTTTGTTCATGCTGCCGTGGGCCTCTCCGACCCTATTGCAAACACTCGAACGAAGATAGGGGTGTTTCCAAAAATCGGGCTTGGGTTCCGGGTTTTATGGTTTAGGGTTGAGGGCTTCGTACGCCACGTTGGTAATAATGATTGTTGTAAGAATATTGCTACGAGTGATAGTGGTAATATTAATCCAAATAGTCATCGTATTGCAGGCAAGAAGCAAGAAGAGGAAGAGGAGGAGCCATGAAAGCAGTGCGAGTGTCAAGCCCTAAACCCTAAACCCTAAATCCCAAACCCTAAATCCAAACCCTGAACCCTAACCCTACATTTTGCAACCTCAATAAAGCCAACCGAAATGCCAGATCCTTCCGAGATCGTCTTGTGCTTATGTTTACGCAGCGTTTAGGTGTTTGGGGACTTCGGTGGGCAAATTTATAGGTCATTCAGGGTTCCGATGCTCCCGGATCGAGTCGGATGTTGCCTTTTGCAACTTGAGCTAAGCCGCAACAGTCCGTTGAGTCCCGCTCCTGCATGTGAGTGTGTGGGCATCCCAATATGAGGGTTTCCGAAATTACCCTCTTGGGGTCCTGGTTATACGGGGATCCTATCTCTATTCGGGGTCCCCTATGATGGTACACCCCCATGTTAGCTTTACGGCTTTTACTTCGCAGGATGAGGATGCGCCGCTCTTCGACGACGTCGAGGAGTTGGAGGGTGAGGAGGAGGCCTTGCACCCAGCTTTGATCATGTCTCCTCTGTGTGGGGGCTTCCGAGATGAGGGGGTACCTTCTTGGGGTCCTTCTGAAAAGGGAATCCTGCTATTTGGGGGACTATACTAGGGGTCCCTTATATTCGTGAGCACCCATGTCGTGCCTGCTAGCCGTCGTGCACTTCTGATGCCTGTAGCTGGTGTGCTGGGCCTAGGTGTCCGACATGTCAGATGAAGGTGGGCATTGCAGAGCTTGGCTTTCACCATGCAGAGTTCATGGGACAACCCCCCAATCCTGTTTGCGCGTGCCCATGATCATTGGCCGGGCCCCTAAACCGCAGGATTCTAAACCTTCAACGTGGAAGAGCTTTTCTAGTCCAGGGATGGTCTGAAGCCCCCCCAAAAAAACAGAAGAGAGGAAATAGTTGCATACACACACATATATATATATATATCTATATCTGTATATCTATATATCTATATATCTATATATCTATATATCTGTATATCTATATATCTATATATATCTATATATCTATATATATCTATATATCTATATATATATATATATAACTCGACAGATATGGACGACGAGGAGGAGGACGAGGAGGCTGGTCCTTTTCCCCTCATTTTCTGGCCCTCCTGAAACCCTAAACCCTAAACCTCACTAGGGTTTTTGGGGCTTCGACCTCAGAGAGTACCTCTTCTCCAAGGCCCACGTGAAGCGAAATGTCGAGTATTAAGCCCTGCTCCCCTTTATTTACCGTACAATATATATATATATATATATATATATCCGTTCTTTCCATGGTTATTTGTTGTGTCCAGGCCCTTCTCTAATTTCATTTTTTGGTCCCTATTCCTTGATGCCGTCGGGATGTTGGTCGAGAGGTTTAGGATTTTGGTTTAGGTCTTCGGGTTTAGAGGTTTAGGATTAGGTTAGGGTTCACAGCCCTTCAACAGGGCCTAAGGTTACCTTATCAGGACCGAGGGGTTTGGGTTTGGGGATTTGGGGGCGAAAATGCGATAGGGCTCGCATAGTAAGGACTTCAAGTCAAGGGACCCGAGGCACTAAGCCCCAAGCCCTAAGCCTTACGCCCTAAACCTGAAACCCTAAACCCTTTAAACCCTAAACTCTAAACCCTAAATCCTAGACCCTAAACCCTAAACCCTAAACCCTAAACCCTAAACCCTAAACCCTAAGCCCTAAGCCCTAAGCCCTAAACCCTACCATCTGCGCCACAGTTCGACTGGGAGCCTGTCGGTGCTTTGAAGATGCCACAGGTGGGCCAGCCCGAGCACTCCGACACCCTGCACCCGAGTAAGCCTCAGACCCCTTGTCCTTTAACCCCAGGGTTTAGGGTTTAGGGTTTAGGGTTTAGGGGCCCCAAAGCCCTAAACCCTGAACCCCAAACCCGAGATCCTGGGTTGCTGAAGCTTTCGGTCGTTGCGTCCGACGCGCCGGTGTTTGACTGGGTCTGGGATTATTCCAGGGGCCCATGGTGACAAGCTTGTCAGGTTTGGGGTTTGGGGTTTGGGGTTTAGGGTTTAGGGTTTAGGGTTTGGGGTTTAGGGTTTAGG